CATATGTGTACCATGTGTGTATGGTGCCTTTGGAGACCAGAAAGATGTGTTATTGTCAGATGCATGTAACTGGAGTTATAGGAAGTTGGAAGCTGCCGTGTGGGAGCCGTGACTCAAACCTGGGCCCTCTGCAAAGCAACACGTGCTCTTAATGAATGAGCATCTTTGTTGTTATTACTGTTTTGTTTTTTTGAGACAGGGTCTCACTATGTACCTTGGTCTGGCCTGGAACTCAGTCTGTAAACCAGGCTAGCTTCAAGCTCACATATCTGCCTTCCATGCCTGGCTTTAAAACACAAAACAAAACAGCTGGGCAATGTTAGCACGTGTTTTTGACCCCAGCATTTGGAAGGCAGAGGCAAGGTAGAGGCAGGCAGAGCTCTGTAAATTGGAAGCCAGCCTGGTCTACAAAGTGAGTTCCAGGACTGTTACAGCCAGGGCTGTTACAAGAGAAACCCTGTCTCAAAAAAATCAAAAACAAAGGAAAAAACAAACAAAAATAAAAACAAAAACAGAATTTCATGTAGCCCAAGTTGGTCTTGAACTCACTATATAGACAAAGAACTCCCAATCTTCTTGCCTCCATCTCCCAAGTGATGGGATTTAGAGATGTCACCAAATGCACACAGCTGGGTTAGAAATCTACGATTTAATCCCAGCATTTGGGAAGCAAAGGCAGGAGAATTTATGTGAGTTCAAAGCCAGGCTAGTCTACACTGTGAGCTCCATTCAAGACACCCAGAGCTGTGTAGAAAAACTGTCTCGGAAAAAAAAAAAGAAATCTATGACCAACTATGCTATAAAGAGCTTCCAAAGTAACACAAACATATATGTTTCTCGAGACAGAGTTTCTCTCAAGTTCTAGAATTAGGTGTGATGACTACACCCAACTTCAACAATATTAAACTATAACCAAAATGTAGGAAAAACTCTATAAGGGATTGACTGAAGTACAGTACACTATAAAATAAATACCAAGAGCCATTAAAGTGCTGGTGTGGATGAGTATGTATTAACATGGGAAATATTCAAGAAATTTTATTAGTGAAAAACATTATAAAGGTGTATGTAGTATGTTTTTGAAAGAGCATTAATTTACATAAGGTGAAGATACTGAAAACTGCTCAGGCAACTTACAGCATGTCCCTTCTGAGTACTGAGTTGATACTAAGTCTCACGTTTTTTTCTTCCATGAACAAATATTATTATTATTATTTTGGTTTTTTTTTTTTTTTTGTTTTTTTTTTTTTTTTGTTTTTTTTTTTTTTTTGTTTTTTTTTTTTTTTTGTTTTTTTTTTTTTTTTGTTTTTTTTTTTTTTGAGACAGGGTTTCTCTGTGTAGCCCAGGCTGTCCTGGAATTCGCTTTATAGACCAAGCTGGTCTTGAACTCATTGTGATCCACCTGCCTCTGCCTCCTAAGTGCTGGGCTTAAAAGTGTGCACCACCACCACCCGGCACAAATATTTCTATTATAAGAAACAAATGCTCTGCCTGAGTGTGATGCACACATCTGTAGTTCCAGCAGTTGGCAGAGGTAGGGGCAGACCAGAATTCAAGGTCAGCCACAGCTACATTTGATATCAAGGTCAGGTCTTAGCCTGTCTCCAAGGTGGAGTGTGGGTGCTGGGAGCCCTGAGTTTAAAGCAAAACACAATAGACCCTAGGCCTATCATCTGTCAATTTTAGGAAAATTGCCCAGAAATTCTTAGCAAAAGGATGTCTTTGTCTACTTATCCTTTCCCTCTAATTAATCTTGCTTTTCTTTAATCGTGTTAAGAATGTAAAATAGTCTTCATTTAATTCTATTTCTGATTAGTTTTTAGAATACCAGTATTATTTTCTGTTTTTTGAGGTGCTGACAAGATGTGAGTAAAGGCACTTATGGATAAGCCCCACACACATATAAATACATATATAAATACACATACACACACTAGAGCCCCACATACATCTACACACACTAAGACACAGTAAAATATTTGTGCAAAATATTTCAGCTATATTATGGACTACAGATTGTTTAGAACATTGTCCTGGGGTCCAAATAAAATTACAATTTTTTTTCTTCCCTTTTCTGTCTTTCTCCACCCTTCTATGTCCTTGAAATTTGGATCCTCCTGTCATACCTCTGAAGTGCTGGGATTACAGGTGGTTGCCACATCCCATGTAAATGTGTTTTTCAAAGAATTTTCCACCAACTGTTAGAGGCACTTGCCACCAAATCTGATGACCTGAGTTCCAATACTGACATGACATGGTAGGAGCAGACAGCCTCCTGTAAATTGTCTTCTGACCATCACACACACACACACACCTCCCTCCTGCAAATGCATACAATAAAATTGTATTTTGGTTGTGAGCCTAGCCATTAACGGCTGAGCTATCCCTCCAGCCCTACATACAATAAAAATTATATTGTGTTGTTCAACAGTTCCTTGACTTAGAGGTGCTTGTTTGTGAGCTGAGGCTCTAGTGGAAGCAGATGATGAACATACGGTTTGCGAGTCTGGAAAGTTCATGATCAGACAGTTTGGTAAGGGCCTTATGCCGAATCATAAAATAGCAGGATTGTATGAAAAGAGAGGCCAAACTGGTGGCACTACCTCACTTTCTAACAACCTGTTCCGTCAACAGCAAGTCCAGTTCCTCAACACCTCCCTCCCTCCCTTGAGATGGGCATTAATTGCTGCTGGAGGTGGTGCCCTATAACCCAGTTAGCTCCTATTAGGTTTTATCTCTTAGAGATTCTACCAACTCTCAGTCAGTTACCTTGGGAACCAAACCTTGGGGGTATAAACCACATGGATATCCAAACCCCATGGTAGTGTCTGATTTGTATGATTTGAGCCATTCATCACTGTGAGGACCAAAGGGTGTGCAGTGAAGAGCAGCTGTCTCAAAAAGTCAAAAGGGGAAACAATGGCAGTGAGGTTAGATCACATTTGGAGCACCATGGAGGGTTAGTTTCCAGTATCTGCAGAAAAACTCAGAGGGACTGTGGTCACTGAAGACAGGAGCGCCAACCAGAGGCTAAGGAAGCTGGACCCTCTGGAAGTAGTTTCCAAATTGCAGCAAAGAAACATGTTTGGATATTTGTTTCCAGTGGAATATGGGGATCACCTGGCTCACTGCCATGTGTCCTGAGCAGCACAGAGCCTTGGCACACTACAGGCGATGAAAGAATGCTGCTAATTGGGCTTTCCTGAAACTAGAACACTTGGTTAGGACTGTGCCTGTGTCCCCAGCAGGGCCCAAATGCTGTTCTCAGGGAGGAACACAGACAGGCTTTGCTAACCTTGGGTCATATGCTATGCTAGTATTTCATTTTTGAACTTTAATGTTAAATGTCAAACTCCTCAAATTTTACAAGCAAAACAAGCATAAATTTATGAGATCTCTTGACTTATCTTTCAAGATGTCTTTAAATTCTATCTACCATGGACTTAAAAAAACATCCAGATCAGGCATGCTGGGTTTCAGCTGTAAATGTGGAGAACTGATTTTATATATACCAACTGTTTAAATAATGTATAAGGCTTTTCCTTCAGACTTAAATATCATACATAATCCATATGTTTCAAGCCCTACAGAAAAATGCTAATACCACCAATTTTGTCACATCCATAGCAACCATTCTGGAAGAATGCTTTTTCTAACTGGGCAAGACCCCAGGCTCCTATCTTTAAAAGCTCTGACTGCTGCCGTCTTCCAACCACATCTGCCCCCGTCAGGCATGTAGCGGACTATCTTTAGAAGCCGTTGGGGACTTTCACCCCCAAGAGGTTCCTACACAGTAGTTGCATCTGGAATTTGTACTTGCTAAACAAAGACTAGATTCTGCCATTTGAGTTGAGAAGTAACCAATTCCCACTCCCAGATGGGTTAAAATGATGATGGTGTGTGACAGAAGTCTCCAAGTAAGAATCATCAGTACTGTAGGCCAGCTTCAGCTCACTGATGCCAGCCATTTCAGTTCATTTTGACACTAAAAAGCACACTGATCTATTTTGGTATATTCAATTTGGTTTTCATTTAGTAAGATAAAGTACCACGTGTTATCACCTGGTTATTTTAAAAGCATTACAAAGCCTTCTTTGGCAGTTTTGCAAAATGATCATGCAAGGCCTCTTGGCTTTCTTTTCATGTACTTATGGGTATCAAGTAACTCAACCAACCACATTGGCCTTTTGATGACTGAGTATTGCTTGTTATGAGAGGTGAGCCCACACCACAGAGCTGCAGAGTTGAACCCTAGGGACCTAGCTTCTTTAGGTGGGAATCCCGGGTCATTGTAAACACCTTTATCCTGAGTGATCCTACCGGGCAGTGTTTTGTCACTTACATTTTTCTCCTCTTGCCTCTACCTTCCTGGTGTTAGGATTATAAATGTGTTCCACCTCACCTGGCCAACAGCTTTGAATAATCCCCCCAGACAAAGTAACCTTTGACTTGTTTTATATAGTGGTCTCCATTTGTCCATGGATGCACACAACTGCAGGGAGCAGCACACAAACTTGAACCTCTATGTATACCGTTTCTTCCTGGACAGACGGACATATGTACAATGATAAAGTTCAGTTTATAAAGTAGACAAAGCAAGAGCTCGACAGCTCCCACAATAAACACAGTAAAGTGTTGCTGCACTGCTCTCATGCTGAACCTTTAGTAAAACTGTGCTACTGAGACAAGGAAGCCAAGAGCAGGTTATGGACAGTGTGGCTGTGTTCTGTGAAAGGAAAACTCATGCTCCAGCAGGGTGGGTGGAGCAGGACCCTGTCAAACTTCATCATGCTACTCAGAAAGGAATGCTTCCTTCCTTTAACACAATGGGGCCCTGGAGTAACAAAACCACAAAGAGACGCCTCAGTGAAGGACTTCAGTGGTCACTTTCTGCATTGAGATCAAGTGAGCCTGAGTCTCCCAACACTGCCCAAATGGCTCATCAATATCTGAAATTAATATACATTTTCTTTAAAGGACCTCGGTGGGGAAAATACAGGTAAAGCAAAGAACTTCCAGTTTTTTATTTTTAAAAATTATTTAACAAGGAAAACAGTCAATCAAGATTTTAAAAATTAGAGTGGATTAATGTACAACATAACAGTCAACTTAAAATATGAGCCCCTTTACTTAGAGCCACAGAGGCCAACAGTCCTCATTGGAACAGCAGGTGTGCACAGTTGATGTTCTGACCTTTATTTGACAACACGGAAATACAAAAGTCATACAGCTTCCACCACCTCCCTTCTCTCCAGAGTTCAATACTTGTCTAGAGCAGTACTCAGACTTTTAAAACGCAGTTGTATTTTTAAAAATATCTACAACTAATCTCATGAGAACACTCTTAAAACAATTCTTATAAAAAACAAACACCTTAAAATAAATTTGTGGCACATCAGACAGCTTAAAGAAATAGCAAAAATAAAAACTAATGTCTAATGTTTAAGAATTATCATCTCTCTCTCTCTCTTTTTTAGAAACCACCCAGGCAAAATTAATTAATTCTGCTTCTCATAATTAGCAGAGATAATTACATGAAGCGGAATGCACCATTTTCTGATCCTTGGTTATAGCTGCCAGCTTAAGAGTTTATGACTAAATACAAAGGAAGATAAGACTAAGCTCACACATTCTGGAATGAGGAAAACAAACATTTCTCCTTATAAAGTTTTTGTCTATCTTCATATTCAAGTCATGAGAAAGTTCACAGCAGTTAAAAGGCTGATTCTACAGGTGGCTGACTAAAACCAACCACATCCACATCACACGTCACACACAGCATTCCTACAGGAACACTAGGTAAACACAGTTCTGTGTTACCAACTCACACTGTTAAGTGCTGGAGCAAACAGCATTGAACAGGCTTACACAGGTTAGGTATCATAGCTCTTAGAACACTTCATTTTCATACTTTCCAATGTGTGAACAAAGCTTAAAATAACTAACTAACTGCCTTAAAGGAATATGTTCATTTGTGACAGCTGGCCAGGCACTTAAATTCAGGAAGAGAGGCTTTGCGATTTTGAGGTAAACCAGAACTCTCTTTAGTAACCACACATTCTAAATCCACTTTTTGATACCACCCCAACTACTCAGCTTTTAAGTTTGTCACTGTTGGACCAAAATCTATACCCTGTGGGACATAAGCTACCAAGAGCATCTGAAGCCTCAATTGGCTCCTTTTGTATATGTATTACTGTGCTCAGAACAAACTGGACACCAACTAAAGACATACACATACAAAGAATATGGTCAAAAGAAGCCAAGAGGAGTAACTTTCTCCCTAAACGGACACTAAGTTTAATAGACTTTTTAGGTATACATCACCAGTCACAGAGACACATTAAAACAGAACAAGCCCGAGGTGATGGCCTCAGCAGCTTCAGAAAGATGACAGAGCAATGCTCTAAAAGGCAGTGTTTAGGAATGCAAACCACACTTGAATGGTCCCAGCATTAGCACTGAGAAGCACAGTGTATGTTTCTTCTCTCTTCTGAATTAGTTCCATGGTGATGGGGAATTTGCCTAACAATGAAAATTCATATTAGAAAGTAAAGGATCAGCCAGGTGCGGTGGATCGTGCCTGTAATTCCAGCACAAGTTTACACAAGAGGACTGACTGCTGAGAGTTTTGATACCAGCCAGAACTACACAGCAAGGTCCTGTCACAAAGAACCCAGAGGATTTCAGGTTTTTAGGTTTTACAAGAACAGAAGAGAAAGTGCTATTTTGGAATTAGTTTCATTTTTTCAATCAAGGTATTCAATTTTACTTTTTCATCAGAATTACTGAGCTGAGTTTAAGTATTATCACAAAAAACAAAACCTACTAATGAATTACCTGCAAATGGAAATACCAAGCCCTATATACCAAGCATTAATGGCATTTTACATTCCTTTCTCAAACAGCAAAGAAGCCCTCTTGATTTGTACAAATGCATCAGCTTTTGTTATTTGGAACACTTATTTATTGACATATTTTAAATACTTTTAAAAAGCTATATAGATTAAAGAACAGTTAGCCGAAAGGGGAGAGAGACAGAGCTTTGAACTCTGGCTTTAGTTTCCATGTGGCTAAAAATAAGGGTCTGAAATTGTAAAAATTTCTAAGCTTATCCCACTGCACACCAAGTGTTTCCAGTCCTGGTATAGGACCACACTTTTATCTTGTAGCGTTAACAGCAGGCACCAGGAAAAAATCTGTAAGTAACGGGCAGGGAGCAAAAATGGGTGAATTTTTTCTGTGATGCTATCTGGCTTGCTCAAGTTTTGAAACCATGACCTTGGTCCATTAGCACCATGGTTTATCCAACTGAAATAATTATTCAAGCCCCTGTGGGATGCCTGAACTGTTATAGGATGAGGCAAGGGGGAGAGTAAGAAGGGGACTAAGGGCAACTCCCCTCTCTCTTTCTCTCCCTCCCTCCCTCCCTCCCTCCCTCCCTCTCTCTCTCTCTCTATGCCATGAGGAAACATTGCAGCAAAGATATAATCTGTCTGCTAATAAACTATATTTGAGTTTGGAAGAATCATTGATCATAGCTATAAAATAATAACATACCAATTTTTATAGTATTTGACTAACTATAGATGGAATTTCCTAGTATGACCCAAATTTGGTTATAATGGAAGTTCATTGAATACTAGAGTATCAGTTAACTAGAAGAAATTAGAAATATTCATAGGTAGTAATCTACCAGAAAAAAGATTAGATGAAAATTAAGTGAAATTACTCATAATTGTTTCAGTATCATCTTTCTCTTGGGAGAACCCAAACAGGGAAACTATCTTCATGTACATAGACATGGCATCTGCCATCGGGTGGATACACCTTTCCCTCAAAGATAGATGGCTCATAGTCACTTTCCTATATAATGGTTCTTGAAACGTCTATCCCACTTACAAATTGTAAAGGAAGCTTACAGACCACTTTTAGGAAAAAGGCACTTTGCTGTGAAAGTTGGATTTAATTTCATGCAGCTGAGAAGACTAGGATGGACTCAAGTCAGTATTCATGTTTGCATTTATGAACACAGAGCAGATGCCAGTTTATAGAATAGAGCTCATCACAGTACAAATCAACCAATCAACAACAATAGTTGTATTCTTAGGAAAACAGTAATTTATGACATTGCCCCCCAAACTAACAAGGCCAAGTTCAACAGTTAGGAGAGGGAGAAAAAAAAAACCAAAAAACAAAAAAACCCCAGCAGTTGCTACCTTAGAGCTTAAGAAACTTATCAACAGAATTGCATGTATACAGTTTGGTTCTCTGTATCAGAGTGTAAATTGCTTTTCAGAGGACAAACCCGGTTGGCAGAGGGTGTTTGTTTCTAAGGAGGAGAACCCAGATCAGAAAATTACTGGGGAGTAACAGGCGCATTTCTCTGGTCAGACAGCCGAGTGAGGAGGTAGTTATTCTGAGGAGGTCTCAGATTAGATGACTGTGCTCATCTATTGAGTCAGAGAAGCAGGAAGCAGGAGCTTCAATGAGATGCAGAGAGCAGCAGGGACACTTCTCCTCCAGGGTTGTCAGAACCAGGGCATCAGTGCAGCTGAAAGAGATGGAATGTATGAGAAACAAGGGCAAGAGACTAAGTGTGAATCAAGACATTTCAAACTTGTCCTACCTTGAAAGTGGCTCTTTTCTGATGACAGACTTCTAAAGGGTCTAGAAAAGAACAGTGTCATTTGTTTTCTATATTGTGAATCTTCAAACTCTTGTCCACTCCACAAACATGCTACATATAGGTCACAAACTGCTAATACTAAAAATAGGAAACTGTCTGTAGAATAAATGCTGAAAGAATAAATTAGCCCTTAGCACTCTCTGAAAGGGTGCCATGAGGGAAATAATTTTTTAAATTGTGTGTGTGTGTGTGTGTGTGTGTGTGTGTGTGTGTGTGATCAGTGCCTATGGAGGCCAGAGGAAGGGTATTGGATTCCTTGGGGTTGAAGTCACCTAATATAGATGCTGGGAAATGAATCAGGTTCTCTAGAAGAGAACTAAGTATTCCTAGCCATTGGGCCATGTCTCCAACTTCCAGAAAAGTTATTTTCTAGTTACAAATTCATGGAAACTCTCATTTAAATTGCAAAAGACAGTAGTGTTCACTCGATTTGGAACAGCCTAATGCTAAATAGTTATGAGAACACACACTCACCTTATTACATTACCACACAGGGCAACCCCATACAACCTTGAGTGCCATCATCATTGCTGTTGAGCTTTTTCATTCGGTACTGGCGTATCTCCCTTACTAGTGTGTAAAAGGCATCTTCCACACCCTATTAAAAGAAAAAGGATGAAAGAAAACAAACAAAAAACTGCCACAGTCTAAAGTGCAAGCACTTCTTTGTGTGGATTCAAATACTAAACCAAGTGTCAATAAATTAGGGTGACTTAGTGTGGTAATTTGAATAGGAATGATGCCCACAGACTCATGTGTTTGAGTGCTTGGCCCACAGGGAGTGGCACTATTAGGAGGTGTGGCCTTCTTGGAGGTTCACAGTGTGTCACTGTGGAGGCGGGTTTTGAGGTCTTCTATTCTCAAACTACCCCCCAGGGTAGCACACAGTCTCCCTTCTGCTGCCTGTGGATCACCATGTAGAGCTCTCAGTTCCTTCTCCAGCACCATGTCTATCTGCATGGTCACCATGTCCCACCATGATAATGGACTGAACCTCTGAAACTGTAAGCAAGCCCCAATTAAATGTTCTCCTTTATAAGAGTTGCCATGGCCATGGTGTCTCTTCACAGCAATAGAAACCTTAAATAAGACAACCATGAAGAAGACACTAAGCCCAGCATTTCTAGGGGATCACACCGATAGGCTGATAAAGAAATGGCATGATTGTTTCACAAAGGTAGTCCAGCAAAGAGAAAAGGGCAATGTGGGGTACAGAATAGACTGTAACTACCAAATATGAGGACTCCCTTCAGGAGAGTTAAGCCTTCAATAGCGGGGAGTGGTAATAGAATACCGATTCGTGCTTACAAGTATGTTTAAGTTATTCACTAGAAAAATTTAAGCCTGCTAATGCAGGAATTAAAATGCCACAGAACAGTGTGACAGACAAACAGACACACAGATGAACAAAAACCCAAAACCAACCAAACAAAAATCATCAGAAAGTCATTACAAAGAACATAGACTACACCTCTAGCACACTTGACCAACCAAACCTTCTGCCTTAAACAAACCCTCACACTGCTCACATCTCTAGCATACCTGTCGGGTCTTGGCTGAGGTTTCAATGAATGGAATTCCATAACTCTTGGCCAGCTCATGGGCTTGCTTTGTGTCAACTGTCCTTGTTGGCAAGTCACATTTGTTCCCGACCAGCACCATAGGCACATCATCAGAGTCTTTCACTCGTTTAATCTGCTCTCTAAACAGAGAAAACAGTAGCAGACCATAAGAAAAATAACCCTTTTGTGAGGAATAAACTGGGAGGGTAAGAGGAGGTGGTAAATCCTTTTTGTTTTTATTACTCAGCTTACAAATTCTGAACACTTACAACTATAGACCTATATACTAAGGATGTTGGTTTAGACTTGGTGTAGCAACCAAAATGAGACTGTGCCTATCAATTAACTTACTAGAAATAGCTGGCTCCTATATCCCAACACATGTCCTCGTTAGGCTCCTAGATTTTTCCAAAAAGCTTGGCTCTGGATTTCACTGAAAACTACAAACAGTACTTTAGATTAAGCTTAGAAGTATAAAAAGTAGAGCTTATAGATTCTAAATGACTTAAAAAATTTTTAACTTATATTAATTTGTGTGTGCATTCACCATGACGTGCATGTGGAGGTCAGAGGAAAACCCCGAGAAGCTGGTTTTCTCCTTCTACCTTATGGGTCCTGGGGAATCAAACTCAGGTTATCAAGCTTGGTAGTAGGTACCTCTGCCCACTGGGCTGTCTTGCTGATCCCTAAATAACTTTTGAAGCTCCCTTTACAACACTATTTAATGGAAGATAATTAAGTCACTCATTAAGATGGTTAGTGCCCTAATACTTTCCTCAAACAAAATTATAGCTGGAAGCCCAAGATAGGTAACACCAAGAAAATTCTACATTTGTTCTTAATAAATGTATGCGCACGCAGGCATGTGTACAGATCTGAAACTACCAAAGAAAACATTCTTTTTTTTTTTTTGGTTTTTCAAGAAAGGGTTTCTGTGTGGCTTTGGAGCCTGTCCTGGAACTCACTCTGTAGACCAGGCTGGCCTCGAACTCACAGAAACCCACCTACCTCTACCTCCTGAGTGCTGGGATTAAAGGCCTGTGCCATTACATCTGGCAAAGATAGCTTTCTTTTCAGTGTCTATATACATAATATAGCACCCAGTACATTCTAGAAGTTACTGTTTTAGATTCTCTTGACAAAGAACTTTTTGTGATAATAGAAACTGGCATCCAACATGGTAGCTTCTCCTGAGCATTTTTGTCAGTTGCTTCTGTGGCCAATAAACTAATTCTTCCATTTTGTGTAAATGTTAAATAACCGTATCTGGCCATGCCTACTACACTCTACCCTTGGATTTCAGTCACATACCCCAACTGTATCCTACTGGCTATCTACATAAATGCTTTAGTATAATGTAAGGTCTCTTTGCCAGTTCCCATCCCCAAACACAAAACAAAACAAAACAAGGCTGGGCGGTGGCAGTGCACGCCTTTAAACCCAACATGCGGGAGGAGGCAGAGGCAGGTGGATCTGAGTTCAAGGCCAGTCTGGTCTAGGAGCAAGTTCCAGGACAGCTAGGACTGTTACAGAGAAATCTGTCTTGAAAAAAACCAAACCAACCAAACAAAAAAAAAACCAGAAAAATAAAAAAAAACAAGCAAACAAACAAAAACCCAAAACAAAAAACCTCAAATAAACCAAGATGACCCACCCTCAAACTCCCTCCCCCCCAAAAAAACCCAGGGTTTTACTATTTATCTTGTTATCTAAACCAGGGAAGGCTTGAACTCTTAATCCTCTTGCCTTGGCTTCCCAAGTACCACAGTGGTAGTTGCCTATGTTAAGGATATTGTAAACCAGCCCAAACTCCTGGAGCATGTTGCTGACGGTCACTGCTGTTCCTACATTACTCAACCTTCTGTGAGGATCAGACACAATTTCTTCTCAATGTCAGTGTACTTTTTCTAAGCAAGCATATACAACCTGACTAGACAGCTATCATGCCTGCAGTATGCTCAATGAAGTTCACAGGGGTTTCATGACATTGCAGAATAAGCTCACTCAATTCCCTCTTCACCTATTCTTAAGTCTGTTTCTAAAGTAACATTATTTTGTTATACTGCACACATGCTACAGTGCGAAAGTGGAGGCCAGAGGATGGGTCTTTCCTTTGACCATGTGGGGTCCTGGGACTGAACTCAGTTGATCAGGCTTGGTGACAAGTGCCCTTTATCAACTGAGCCATTTCAACGACCCCACTATACATGTTTACAAGATACTTTAAATAAGTGCTTGGTCAGTGATAATGTCATCACTTGGGATCCAAGAGGAATCAGTTTTAAGATTTTGTTACCCCCACAAAGAACACCAAACTCTGAAATAGGAAATAAGCCAGCACTCAAGAGTGTAGGCAGTATGTACTATGGGCTAAGCACTGTTCTGAGTGTTTATTGTTTGCTCTTGGCAACTTTGTGAGGGAGGTATCCTTTTATTATTATTTTTTCAAGGTTTATTTTTATTTTTTGTGTATGAGTGTTTCTGTTGCATGTATGTCAGTGCACATATATGCCTGGTGCTCAGAGAGACCAGGGAAGGGTACCAGATGCTGGCAATTGAACCTGGGTCCTCTGGAAGAGTAACTCTTGAGCAGTTTCTCTAGCCCTGAAAGAGGTAGTCTTAATTCCTAATAAATTCAGAAACCAAGACACATAGATTTAGTGTTTTGTCCTGAAGTTAAATCTTTATTTAAAAGGTTTTTAAATAAAGCTAAATAAAGTTTAAGTAAGTTTAAAGTTTAAACAAGATTTGATCCTAAAGTTAAATCTTTATTTAAAACTTAGTTAATTAATAACAGAGTCAAGTTTGGTTTCAACCTTGACAGTGCCTGAAGATAGAATAGTTCCTTAAGAGAAAGGCCTGGTGTTTGGGGGCGTCTAGCTCTGCTACTAAAGGAAAAGGGGGAAAAAAATCACAACTCTGAAAATCTAACAAATCACTTCTGAACTCTATGACTCTGTAAAGTAAGAATACTGGTTGGGCATGATGGGATACTGCCTGTAATGCTGGCACTCAGGAGGCTGAGGCAGGAGGATTGTAAATTCAAGGCTAGCCTGATACATAGCAACATCCTGTCTCAAAAATATAAAATGAATGAATAAGAATGTCCTACTAGAATTTTTAGGGCCCATCTAGCTTTGAAACTTTATAGTTCTAGAAGAAAAGGCCACTTTGTGTTCTTTGGCTTTGCTACCTATGTCTTTCTGTTGCTCAGCAGCATGCTTGTTTACAAATGAGTAGTACAGTAATAGTATATTATTCACAGGAACATTGACATTCACTTTCAGTGATAACCATATTCTTAGCAAGTACTTTAACCTAACAGTAACTTCTTCTGTAAGAAAAAGGTATGTAAGTGCCAGTGAGACAGCTCAGTCAATGGGCAAAGGTGCCTACTACTAAGCCAAGATCCCCAGAACCTAAGGAGAGAACTTTCATTAGCTGTCCTCTGACTCCTGTGACACACATGTTCCATTGCACACCTGTCCCCACTTCCACAAATAATCAAAATTTAAAAGTTGTGTGCTCCCTAATTTAGAACACACGTAAAATTTTCCTTTCAGAAAGTAATATTGCCAGTACCTGTAGAGGTTAATATCTGCAAATGATTTGCTATTGTTGATGGCAAATACACAGAGGAATCCTTCGCCTGTCCTCATGTATTGGTCTCTCATGGCACTGTACTCCTCTTGTCCAGCTGTGTCCAGTATGTCCAACAGACAAGTCTCACCATCAATTACCACTTGTTTTCGGTAAGAATCCTGGGAATGTGAAAGGGTGAGGTGGTGGTGGGCGCATAGGCAGGCTCAATCTTTATTTAAAACTAGAGGAAAGTAATTGCTAATAGGTAGCATAATCTCTCTCTCTCTCTCTCTCTCTCTCTCTCTCTCTCTCTCTCATGCCCAGGGGAGACAGAGGCAATCGGATAGATAGCGGCAAGTGGATGGATATCAGTAAATTGAAGGCCAGCCTGGTCTACATTTCAAGTGTCAGGACAGCCAGGGTAGCACAGTGAGACCCTGTCTTAAAAATAAGCCAGCCTGAGCTATGAGGTTAAAGGAAAAAACAACAAGAAAAGCAAAATCCAAAGGAACAAACAAACAACCAAAGAAACAGATTAACAAAACAACAAACTCCACAAACTTTTGATATGGCCTTATGGCAATAATCTCACTATTATTATAGAATATTCTCACATTTGGAAGGCCTTATCTGTGGTACTAGCAATGTGCTTATTGTTCCATGCTTATATTCGGTTCCAAGAATATATTAAAATGTAGCCTCTGTAGATATCCGAATTTGTCTAACACCCTTGTATAGTAGTAGAACAGGTTTACACATGTAGAAATTCTTTGGTATTTTGTAAATAGGGTCTCAATAAGCAGTTCAGGCAAGCCTTGAACTTGGACCCTCCTCCTTCAGCCTCTTGAATGCTGGGCTTTACACACACCTACACCAAGCCCAGTAAGGTTATGAGAATTTAACATCATGAAGAAAAATGAGACTCATGGAGATTTAGATGATTTTTCCTCAATATTCCATAATTAAACTGCAGAGATCGAATTCCTAGGCACAATGACTCAAAATCTCAATTTGTTTCTATTCCAAATGAGACTGGACTAGCTCAAGAATGAAAACTGGAGACTATCTAGAGCTCTGAGCTTTTTTTTTTTTTCCTGTTGTATGATCTCCTACACAAACTCCTTAAACGTTACTGCTTTTGGAATACAGTACCTCAAATACCTTCTTGCTTTCTCTCCTCTTTAGTATCAAAAACCAGAAAGGATATATTCGTAAGAAAAAGCCAAAAGTGGGAGCCAGGCCAGGCAGTGGAAGGGCCTCACCTCTATGGTGGGATCATATTCATCCACAAAGTGGTTCTGGATTAACTGGATTGTCAAAGCACTTTTCCCAACACCACCTGCTCCAACCACCACCAGTTTGTACTCAGTCATTTCACACCAGCAAAAACCTGTAGGAAAGCAGCAATTACGATTAAACTGGCAAGGCAAACCTACAGTACTTCAAAGGCTTCTTTAATGAGTTACTAAAATCAGTTTCAAAGGCATTCATTCGATACACGTGGCCTTCCACTAAGTTCTCAAAAGTGATTCAAACACAAAAACAGTTGAGGTCAGTGCGGCCACGGCTTCTTGAAGACCCGCGTCTACTTTTTAATCGTACTCCGCCCCGCCCTCAACCTACAGGAAAGGAAGCCCCCGTCCTACTCGTCTTGCAAATCCAAGCTCTGGGGTTCACCTGGCACGACCTCTTCCCGAAACTCCCCTTTCCGGCTCCTAAGATCACCCCACCGCCCGCCGCAGGCAACCAGGGTCCCCCACCCAGGCCTTTGTCTCCAGCTCGCCGAGTCTCCGCGTCTTCCTGCACCCGCCAGGCATCCGCACGCCGCGGAGCCTGTCGCCACCCAGGGCAGAGCCTTACCTCAAGCTCCGCTGACCCCGCTTCGGGAGGTTCTTGGACCTCAACCTGCCAAACTGTTAGAGACCCCGAAACCGCCATGAACAGCCCCCACCCGGGAGCAGCACTTCCGGCCCCACCCGCTACGCAATCAGTAGGCGACCAGACGCCCGAGTCCCCGCCCCGGCCACGTGGGCCTGCGACTTAGGAGTCTTGCGGCTGGGCGCACCCAGTCCCTCCCCTCCCTCCCCGGTTTCAATAATGAAAGCGCTGGGTGCTTGTGTCTCAAAAATCAGTAAAACTTTATTCGCTTCCATTCTTTCGCCATTAACAGAAAAACGGAGAAAGCAAAAAATGTCTTGTGTTTACAAAGATAAATGGCCTCTTTACCCAGAGATCAAATACTCAAACGACAACGGGGAAGATGAAAGCGCCCTCCCCACAACCCCTGAGCTGACTCTTGTCATCTTTAGACAAAAAGCCTTCACTCACTCCACTTGCCAGAGACCCTGTTTGGGGCCAATTCAAGAGGGCAGAGAAATCAGGCCAATCCATTCCCGTGATACAAAGTTGAACAGAAGCTACACCAGGATCAAGTGCCTATATTCAACAGGACACTGGAACCAGGGGGCTATTTATAAAAAAAACAGGATTCATTTCAGGCACAACTTTTTTATTTTTTTTGTTTGTTTTGTTTTTAAATCAGTAAAAGAAACTGGGTCCTAGAAGCTGCAGTGATCTAAGCAGCAGCAATTTTGTGCATTCGTCTTTTGTTTAAATATGTTTAAATTATCACACTGCTGGCACACTTCATTTGCATGAAATTCTGCACCACACATACTAATTGTAGTAAAGTTATTTACCCCCATCCCAGGAAGAAAAAAAAAAAACCTATCTGGAAGATAATTTTCACTGAAATGTAATCAAACTCGTTAAGTGGATTGTGACAAGATTATAAATGATATGAAAATAACATTTTAACATTTGGCCATCAACTTAAGAAAATCGTTTGCTATATAAATTTTTGTAATTTTTTTTAAAGGTAATATATTCTACCTTCATATGGTCCTCAGAATTAAAGCATAATGAACAGGAAAGAAAAGGAAAAGAATGCGGCTGAGTGCTAAGTAATGAAGGTAGAGTATATACTGAATAGAGTGCAGAATTTCATAGGGCCAACAAGGTAACAGTCTGTATTGTTCATTTACACAGGCGAAGTGGAATTTGCAATTACCAGTTGCGTTAAATGCACCAAATAAAGCTCCTAAATTGATACTATAAGGCGCCACCTTAAGTTTCCCAGGCTGCAACTGTGCATAATTTTAAAATGGTTTCTTAAATTTATTTATTTTTTTTTTTTAAACATAACACGAGGAAGGTGTTAAAACTGGTGTAATAGCTCAATAGAATAAGTATTCCAGGTTTTGGGAGGGATGAAGAGAAAGATATTCAGAACCCTTCACCAGAATCCCCCCAACTTGACCATAGTGGATTAATGATGTGCTTTGTGGGTGTGATTAGTCAATGACACCAGCTTGACGGATCTTTCTTTCTGCACCAAATCCCTGTGAAGAAATAAAACAGTTAATGATTTGAGTGTATGACAATCACAATATGAAATTCTAAGAAACTATATTTTTAAATTATCATATCCACTACAAATTCTCTCCTAAGAGTAAGAACAAAGTAGACCTAGACCAAGAAGCATATCCTACGACAGGTAAAGCAAAGGCAGAGTGGGGAGTTCAAGGCCACTCTGATCTGCTATGTCCCTATCTTAAAAGGAATGGAAAAAGCTTCTTTCAGAAAATGTGTCCGGAAACCCTAACTAGTGATAAGCAATCCTTGCTTCATTAAGTTCTTTAAATTGAATATTATCAGTTGACCTCCCTCAAATCCCCAATGGAATCATACCATTGAGTTATCTGGTCCCCTTGGCTGACGAAGAACCATTAGACGAGGAGCACTGGCATCATCCAGGGAGATATTCTTCAAGCGATTGACCAATCGATCAGGTCGAGGAGCTGCAACAGCTTTGGGGCCTTCACTGTAAGTGTGAAAGTGAGAAAAACTGACAATTGCTGGGAAGAAGGCAATCAGTGAGTAGGTTTCCTACCCAAATGACTCACTTTTAATGAGAGGGACTCTTGCCTCAACTTAATTGGCTAGCAAGACAAGACAGACAAGTTTGGTTATAGATGCTTTTCTTAATTCAGATGCAATTGGATAGGTGTTGTGAAGAATTGTTTCAGTGAGACCCTAGACTTGTCTGCAGAGAGACTAATTCCACAGGTAACACATGGAAAACCTTTTAAGAAGTCTAACATGAACAGTTCTAGATTTCTATCTTTAAAGGAAACAATGTTGAGATTAAAAACCCTAATAGCATGAGTCATGATGACTAAGGTATAAAAATTAGACATTTAAGCAGCACAGGCCTGGAAATGACTAGACAAAAAAAAAAAAAAAAAAGAATAAGCTGAATTTCCTAAGAATTTAAGAATTATGTAACCTTTTAATATTGAAGACCAGCACATCCAGTGCTAATGCATAACAGCACCTAAGTGTGTCTCACAGCCTCAAGGTCAGATTAAAAAAAAAAAAAAAAAAAAAAAAAAAAAAAAAAAAAAAACCTGGAGACAGAAAGAGAGATATGGGAGAAGGCACATGCCAGCAAGATCAAGGTCAGTCATAAATAATAAGGTGAGACCTGTCTGAAACCAGTGACTAGAGTCAAAGACAAAACCAGATAATGGCATAAGTGGAAAATAGTACCTAGTACCTAATAAACCCAAACAGACAAGAGTGGGAAAGGAAAGACATCTGGCAAAGCACAGATTATACAAATTAGGGGAATGAACTCAGGGCAATTACTAATCCAACCACAATAAACAAACAAACAAACTCACCAGACTCGCCAAACATTACAGGCACTGCATTTCCCAGTGCGCTGATTAAGAATCACTGAGAATTCCACCTCATCTCCTGCCTGTAACTCAATGCCATCCTGAACTTCTTTCACATGGAAAAAGAGCTTCTTGCTATCTCCTACTTCATAGTTAATAAAGCCAAACTAGAAAAAGAAAACACACACACAAAGTTTACAATGGAGAAAACATCCTGTCTTGAAAAACCAAAAACTACGTAAGTCAGGCATGGCAGTTTAAATCCCAGTACTCAAGAGGGTGAGGCAGGTAGATCTCTATGAATTTGAGGAGAACCTGGTCCATATAGTGAGTTCCAAGCCAGTCAAAGCTATATAGTAGGGGGGAAATTTACATAATATTGGCTGATGACATTTGCTTATCAACATTATCACAGGACAGATGCAGATCCAGAGACATAGCACTTAATTACCTGATCTTTCACACACTCCACAGTGGCCCTACGAAGGGGTGTGATATTGTAGGCCATAGTTTGTGCATTTTGGCCAAGGACACACAACTGGAACTTGACACTCTCCCCTTTCTGCAGGCAATCCCCTTTGTTGGCCATCCCAACTATGCCAAATGGATACACTTCACCTTTCATATCCCCTATAAGCAAAATAACACAAAGTCTAAATATACACACTAAAAATGAATTTTATTACCTTATAATTTTTTTAAACATGAAAGTTTTGCCTTAAAAGCTAACAGGAATGTTAAATGTTAAAGATTAACATGGCAGCAGATGACAAAACAAAAACAAACCCAGACAGCCCAAGTGACTAACTTCTAAAATGCATTATGAACCAACCAGGAAAAATACTGACAAGGTGGCAAACTAGCAAGGCATAGGTAAACCAATGCTTACATCTGACATCCAAAATTCTTTTTATGATCCAGACTCCTTTCTCTTAAGAGGTCAGGGCTTATAAAACAGGCTCTCTTCCCATCTGTTCCAATCCCCCACCCCCATTCAGCACTGTAACAATAAAAAGTGACCTAGAGACCAATGTAAGAGACAGAAAATAAGTGACCTGCTCATTGACTCAGCACTCAAAGCCAATGAATTAACAGAAATAAATAAGCTTCATACCTAGAAATGCTTAGTAAACCTATGGATAATTAAAAGGCTAAGGTGTTTAAAAAAATTTTTTTTAGCACTAACACACACAGATCCCAAATGTTTGAAATAATTCCAGTAGACTAATTTGTGAAGAGGCATAATACCATTTATTAACATTTCTATGATTCATAATAAATCAGACTCTTTGGAATCTTTTTAAAGATGAAGAAACTGAACTAATATTTAATGTTAAAGTACCAGATTTAAAAAAAAAAAAAAAGCTGGGTGGTGGTGGCAAAGGCCTTTAATCCCAGCACCTGGGAGACCAAGGCAGGAAGACCTCTGTGAGTTCAAGGCCAGCTTAGTCTACAAAGTGAGTTTCAGGAAAGCTAGGACTGTCATATAGAGAAACAGAAACCCTGTCTCAAAAAACCAAAATAGACAACTGACATGTTACAGTTAGTAGCCCACATACATATTCTTTGATTTGTCAGGCAGAGCATTACTTGGGTCACCAAGTTAATTCCTATTTGGAGGGTTATGATGAGGGAGGGGAAATGCAACAGTGGAAATTCATGTAGAATGGACTTTCTAAGAACCTCGTGATAAAGCATTAGCTATCAAGGTTCTTTTCTTTCTACAAATAAACTCTTCTCCCTTAACTTCACATTCTTTCTGGCTTACAGATAACGAGGCCTTCTTCTCTTTGAGACAAGTCATCATTTGAGTGAAATGTTTCAACTACTTATTTAACCCTGTTATCCTAATTATTCAGCATTCCATACTATATCTATTACACTTATTTGATACACACTTTATTTCAAATAAAGTTGTGCTTCCTGTGTGGTGGCTATTGAGGAAAAAATTACCAAATATTATAGAAGTAAAAATAGAGAAAGCCAAAACCTGGAGGACCCCTAGGTGCTAAGAACACCACTTCAGGAAGTGAAGCATTCTGAATGATTACTAACTGTAAATGACTAGTGGATTTAAAAAAAAATTATTACCATTCAATATTAAACATTCAGCATAGTCATTTGTTCAGGCTGACCTCATTTTTAAGGAGCACAGAAATAACATTAAGCATGGGAAGAAAGTGAGTCCCTTTTAAATTAAGCTTCCAAAAAAAAAAAAAAAAATCTGTAAACAAATGCAATGAAACCCGTCATATATTAAAACCTTGTTTAAGTGTTCATCAGAAGGCATGGCAGACTTATTTCACTGTACTTACCCTCCTCCACAATCTCAATCATTCCTTGGTACTCAATCTGTGTTGGATCAACACCTCTAAGAGGACGAATGACTTTACCAGAATAGATGGTGGGATTAGCTTCCTCAGTAATGCCATTCACTACAAAACAAATGCACACATAATTTTCACTCAGTAATTTTAAACTCTATCTGATAGATGGAAAGTGAAAAATACAATCCCAATGTGTATACAAGGTGAATGCTTTTTGCTTAAGATTTTCAAGGATTTTAATTAATTTTTCTAATTATATATTATGGGTCTCTGCAATGACTATAGTATCCAGTATGTTAAGAGGGCATCAGATCTGGAGCTGGTTTATAGAGAACTGTATGTGAGCTACCTGAGGTAGGAGCTGGGAATTTAGGTCCTTTGAAAGAAAATACATTATTATGCATATAGGTTTCAACCAGTTAATCCTCTCTCCATCCCATTCCCCCACCTCTTCCATGCCTAGACACCCACATGCACACCCATACATCTTACTATGCAGCTTAGGCTGATTTAGAACTCAAGATCTTACCCAGTTGAGATTATAGGGAGTCTGAGGCCAGTTCTATTTCTTGAATAATTACTTAACCATAAATGCTTCTAAAATGCCATTAAAGATGCCTGAGTTTAAGCCAGGTAAGTGGTGGCGCATGCCTTTAGTCCCAGCACTCAGGAGGCAGAGGCAGGTGGATCTCTGTGAGTTCTAGACCAGCTTGGTCTACAAGAGCTAGTTCCAGGATAGACTCCAAAACCACAGAGAAACCCTGTCTCGAAAAACGGAGGAGGAAAAAAAAAAAAAAAAGCCTGAGTTTGGCATAACAGACACTCATATTTAAAGATGTTTTCTGAGCCTGACATGTTGCCACACATCTTTAATCCCAGCACTCACAAGGCAGAAGCAGCTGGATCTGGATCTCTGTGAGTTCCAGGATAGTCAGGGCTACACAGACAAACCCTGCCATGTAAAACGACCCAACCAACAAACAGATAAAAATTTGTTATTGTTACTTCTATTTTCTATCCCCCACCTAAATAAAGAAAAAAAAAAAAGCATAAAAAAAATCAGGACTTGTCTGGTTTCCTCACAACTATATCTCTATGGCATCAAACACATTGTGTACTTAGGTTTCTGTGGAATCAAAATGGATGGTCTTAGCTGTCCTATATCTAGGATTCAAGGTAAAGTATTATTTGAGGCATTTAGATAAAGAAAGCCAAAATGGTGTTGAGGCTATGTAAAAATAGAAAATGCCAAAGCTGTATCTGTCAAGTACTAGACCCTGGGCTCCACTCCCAACATGAATAAACACTCCCCCAAAACGGCTAAGATTGTCTTCATTTTTCACATTTAGACCTACGATTCACCAAAGTAGTCTACCAAGACAATGCATATTTTCCTAAAAGCATTAAGATGTATTTATAGAGAGAATGTAAAATACATTTCTGAGATTAAAAAAAAAAAAAGCAGGGTGCTTAAAAACAAAAAAGGCATTTAATACAATTCTAAAAATTATCAGAACCGCATTAGTTCCCCATCCCACTGCAAAATCAGATACAATCCAGGCATAGTGGCACACATACTAGGGAGCTACAGCCAGTGGTTCTCTGAGTTTGAGCCCAGCCTGATCAACACAGCCAGTTCTAGGCTAGCCACAGTTAGAGAGAGACCCTGTTCTAAATTCCTACAGTCCCCAAATTCGAAATACCATCTTTAATGTTACCCAAATCACCAAAAACTTGATAAAACAGATTGTCATGTCCAGAATTTTAGAAACCTAAGACAGGGGTTAAGAACATGGATGTCTTCTTGACAAACAGCCAAGGTATACTGCTGATCTGGCACCAGAGAGCAAATCTTATCTTATCCTCTTCTCCTACCCTATCTACTATCTTCCAATCAAAGCATAGGATGAATAAGGAATCACAATTCATTACCTGAATGAGTTTTGTTTACTTTCTCAGCACTGACTTTATTGCCTTTGCCTTTGGACAAGCTGTATTCAACCATATCTCCCAGTTCCAGGCTATCAACATCACCAGAGAACTCACTAAAGGGAAAGGAAAACAGTGACATCAACAGCATCAAGTAGCCTTTACTCTTTCTAACATTCATAACAACTCTGCTTACACTGAACACTGTTCTAAGGAATTGATTCATTAAATGCTTAAACAAACAAACAAAAGACCCCATTAAATGAGGTACCCTATATCTCTGGCTTCAAGGTAATGAAAAGAAACAAAGAAATTAATTCATTTGATGGAAGTAACTTATGTATTTAAGTGGCAGAATCTGAATCAAAACTAAAATATCTGGTTCTGATTCAAAGAACTCACACTTTACAGTATATGCTATAACTGTATATGAAATCACATCACTCTGGTACCAATATTTACAACAAAGCATATTCTTTTATTTAAGAAATATAAAAAGGCCGGTTAAGTGTATTATTTATTTTTTTGGCAGATGACTAACTTCTGTATACATCTTGCCATAATTACAAATAGGAAAATTGGGTCTCAAAAACTGTAATTTCCAAAAAGTTTCTGATTAAATTTTTGAAAACTAATGCAAAATATGAATAGTATGCTACCTAAAAGGCATTCCTTACCTATAATGGAAAAATATTTCCTTATCATGATTAGCTGTTTCAATAAATCCAAAATTATCTTTCAGAGTTGCCACATAACCCAAGAGCCTTTTGGAGTTAGAATTACGACCTAAAAGTCTCACACAAGTTGCAATCTGCTGTCCAGGCCTCTGTTTGTCACTAATACTAAATTCAACCTACAAAAAAAAAGTGATAATTAGCATCACCATCAGTTCCACATCAAGTTCTGTAACTCTAAAAAGGAAACCCAGAAAACCCCAACACCATGTTTTTTACTTCAGACCTCTTTCGTAATTACTTTAATAATTTCCAGAAAATACTAGACATCAAAACTTATTTTTCATAAAGGATTAAGTTTTGTCCCTCAACTTTTTATAGTATTAATCTCTCTAAAAGAAGGATGTCTAAAAAAGCAGGCAATATAAACCTTTGGCATAATTTTATGCTGGCTCCATTTCATAAGTGCTTTAAGCTTTCTTGTGGAAATATTTAACTGTATTGAATGGTTGTGCACCTTGCCTATTTATTGAGTGCTAGAGTTACAGGTGTATTCACCTCACCTGTCTCTAAAATTAGCTCATGCTACCAGGCAGTGGTGATGCACCCCTTTAATCCCAGCACTCGGTTGGCAAAAGTAGGTGGGTCTCTGTAAGTTCAAGGCTAGCCTGGTCTATAGAGTGAGCTCCAGGAAGCCAAAGATGTTACACAGAGAAACCCTGTAGTGGAAGGGAGGAAGAAAAAAAAAAAAAAAAAAAAAAAAAAACAAACAAAAAAAAGTGGGGAGGGGGGGAAAAAAAAAAAAAAAAAAAAAAAAAAAGCTCATGCTAAAAAACCTAGTATTCATCACTATGTTTTAGAAGCTCACAAGACCCTGTTTTAATTACGTATTTAACCTTTCAAGTGCAAAAATACTTCATCCAAGCTCAACAAAATTTAAAGTATCCATCAGGCTTTATGATCAAGATGACAATCACGAACTTGAATTTTCTTGCCTTATCTCCTATTTGAGGAGAAGTAGATCCTTCCACATCCTTGGCTTGAAAAGCAATAGTCAGTTTCACCCCACAGTCATCATAAGCAATAATGCCATCTTCCGCCTCCTAAAATAAATAAATAAATAAATAAAATACAAATAAATATCCTCAAGAACACTGACAAATTATTATAATTATTTTTATTTGGCTTTTTTCCCCCAAGACAGGATTTCCCTGTGTAGCTCTGGAGACTGTCCTGGAATTAGCTCTTGTAGATCAGGCTGGTCTCGAACTCAAAAGAGATCAGCCTGCCTCTGCCTCTGGAGTGCTGGGATCAGAGGTGTGCGCCACCACTGCCCGGCCACTAACAAGTTATAAAAAGGTAAGAAAGAATTAGCTACAGAGCTCGGAAATCCAGGAATTTATTCCAGGACTCTCTAAATAATACAAGGTAAAACACATGAAATAAAAGGTATGCCTGACTTCACTCAGAACTGCCTCCTCAATCTATGATCACTGAGCCTTTTCAGTTTTTATCAAAAATTAAATCAAGTATTTCATTTCCAGCCATGAGAAAATTTGTTTGCAGCATGAAGCTTAGCCTTTTCATAAAGACTCTTTAATATTTATTCCTAAGCAGCAGCTGAAGCATCCTCTTTACTGTCCCACAGTTCTTCACTGTTTGTGAGAAAAATTAACTTGGTTTAAGAACTAGGACAAATCAAAGCACTTAATAGGTGATGATATACCAGTTTTTCCACACTAACAATAATTTTCACACACAGTTTATATACAATCTGTACACAAATTGCTTTTTGTGGTTTAACCCCATTTCTATGGGAACAATGTCCACACCTCATTGCCATTACATAATTAAACCAGTTTTTAGTTTACTTTGTGTTCTTCTGCAATTCATATTCTTTATGATTGTTTATACATTAATTTATTAAACATGAGCAATTTGTATTAACGAGTCTATCTCCACTGTTACCAGGAAGTCTTATGGTAAATAAACAGCAGTACCAAACCAGTACAATGGCCCCTTGACAGTTATTTTAAAATGATTGTGTTCTAGTAACTCTCTCATGTACCTTATAATCGACTATCCCATTTAGTGTTATATTAATAGCATTGTTCCTCATGTACATGCCTCATGCTACTCCTCAACTATCTATAAGTATGAAACAAAGTCCAAGTACATCAGTGAATTTTGCAATTAACAATGTTCTTCTCCCTCAACCAAAACCAAAATCCAAAGAAATCCTCCCTGTCCCCTTTCCCTCATCTATACCTTCTACCTGTCAGAAATGCCCTTTTCTATCTCCACATATTAAATGCCAACACCTTAACAGAACCTTTCCAGATCTTTCCAGTTATTTACTTCGACAGAGTACTCTCACAAACTTTCTTGTGTGTATGAGACAGGCAGAGGTTGCTGGGAATTTAATTTGGCCCTCGTGGCAAACATTATACTGCTTGCTTATTAACAGCTCAACACTTGTGGGACTACAGAAAACTTTACACCCAGTAAGAATCATTCTGCACTTATTTGTGAGAGCAAAATTTAGACTTCTGCATAGTCAACGGACTTGCTAATAAACAGAAATAGAAATACAAGAATGTGATATATCCAATTTGTAAAACTTATATAGAGTTAAGGGCTTTTGATGAATGGTTCTTAAATGATGTTTTGCGTCTCCACAGTTCATTTGGCAAGCCATTTTGGGAAGAAGCAAGGACACTGGCTGAAACATCCCACTTGCAAAATGTCAAAGATGCTGAAGCTAAGAAATGCCAATATTACAGAATCTTTAAACCCACGAATATCGGGGCTGGAGAGATGGCTCAGAGGTTAAGAGCACTGACTGCTCTTCCAGAGGTCCTGAGTTCAATTCCCAGCAACCACATGGTGGCTCACAACCATCCGTTATGAGATCTGGTGCTCTCTTCTGGTGTGCAGATATATATGGAAGCAGAATATTGTATACATAATAAATAAAATCTTAAAAAAAACAACAACAAAAAACCAAGCATGTCTGAATGTTCTACATAGCTGAGAATGACTCTGAACTCCTGATCTTCAAAGCCTCCACCTTACAAATGTTAGAATCACAGGCCAGTATCATCACGGCTGGTGCATAGAGAATTTAAAAAAGGAGATAATGTGCCAGGCAGTGGTGGAGCACACCTTTAATCCCAGCACTTGGGAGGCAGAGGCAGAGGCAGGTGGATTTCAGTAATTTCAGGACCAATCTGATCTACAAAGCAAGTAACAGGACAGCCAAGACTGTTACACAGAGAAACTGTCTCAAATCACCCCTCCCCAAAAGGAGACTATTTTATTATGTGGACTGTGTTGAATCTGCTTGTAATCAAAGATAAAAGAATACAAATGAATTGAATCATATAACACTTGCCTTGTCTTTGCCTTTATTTGGGCTTGTGGTTTTAGGATTTGAAAAGGTGGCTTCTTTTTCTACAGTGCCCAGAAAACGATGATCTGAATGGGAATGGAATGAAACCGTGCCCTTGGGAAGTTTTTTAATCCTAATAGCATGATTTCTTTGGGCAGAGAGCATATCCTACAAATAAAACAAAAATTAACTTTAAAATTACAAAGAAGACAGCAGAAAACCACCCCTCAACACTTTTCCCAACAACTACTCACAGGAACCACAGTAAACTCTACTTCATCTGCAATGTGGAGCTGGTTCCCATCTAGAATTTCACTGAAGTGGAAGAACATACGAGCATCACGATCCACGCACTTGATGAAACCAAAACCATCTCTCATGGCAGCAATAACACCCTGAAACCCAAATAACATTTTCACTGGTTGTGCAGTTTGTCAAAACCAGAAGTTCAGAGTCACCATCAGGTTGAACTTATTCCTTCAAAACCCAATATGATTATATCAGTTTAGTATTTTTTAAATTTATATACAAACTAATTTCAACACAGTAAATACTATGTGTGTGTGTGGTTTTGTTTTGTTTTGTTTTTTTAAATAAATCCAATGTCAAATTTCGACTGCCCATCCACATACTGGAGCCTGACTAACCTTTAAAAAGGTAATCTTTTAACCCCAGTAATTTTGGGAATTTCCAGGTACCTCTCCTTGGCAAATGTACATTATAAAAGTCTTATGAATATAACCATACACCATATTTCATGAAAAGCCAAATGACAATGTAACACAAGAATTTCAAATATTTAAAGATATACCTCAAGACAAAAGCAACACTTATTAATTCAAAATCTTGTACGAGTTGAGGCTCGGAAAGAACTTAAGATGCAAAAATCAAAATGTAGTATTTTGTTTCTTCATGTTTTCTTTCATCCTATATGAAAATGCAGGCTTTGTGGATCATTGTATCCACAGATCTTGGAACATGCAAGGCACTAGTGCTTACTAGAATAACATTTTTTAATCTATCTGTCAATGAATTGCACACTGATTATTTACTGCAGAGATAGATAACTACTAGAGTTTTGAATATGACCTAAATATTTTGACATTTAATCCTTGTCAAACTCTCTGATCGTAACCAGAATTCATATTCACATTCTGTGTGTCCCCTTCCCCCCTTTCTTTTTTTCCCTGCCCCCAAAACAGTTTTTCCTCTATATAGCTCTGGAACCTGACCTGGAACTCACTGGGGTAGCCAAGAGGCAGGTAGATCTATTTGAGTTCAAGGTCAGCATGCTACACAGAGTTCCGTGTAGAGAAATCCTGTCTCAACAAACAAGGAACTTACAAAAATTATGTTTTTACTGACAACACTGAGACATGCTACCGATGGTTATGATGCCAAAAAACACTAAATACAAACTGCATCTTGAGAACAGTCAGTCCACAGAATGTTTTAAAGATATACTTGGGTAACAAGTTAGGCACACACCATTCCTAGATGTATGCTCATTAAAAATACGCGAAGCATTTTTGTAAGGGAAGTGAGATGTATTTAGCATTGTTTAACCTAATGTTTACTAAACATCAGAGAAAATCTTAAGAAAAACACTTTGTCTTACTCACATTATATTAGTGATTATCCAGACTTCCAATCTAAACTTAATTTATATGTATTTCCAAGATAACTAAGAGTGAGAAAGATGTTAAGCTCAGACTAATTCAAATATGTATGGTTCTTAGCCACTTAATAAGGTAAAGATAGTCATTAGCTCACCCTAGTTTCTCTAACAACTTGGAGGAGCTGGCTCTCTCCTCTTATTTATGTGCATACAGAGGCTTGAACTCAGACTATCACACTTGGAAGCAAGCACCCTTATTCACTAAATCATTAGCCTAAGAAGTTCCCAGTTAATAGCACAAATCAAAATCTACCACCGAACCCTAAATGTTAGATAAAAATCCAATCATATTAAACACTTACCATTTCTCTGGCTTCATTAGTGAACTGAAATGTATTTGATAGAACTTCTATGTTGGTTGCTCGTTCTAATTTGTCACGCCGGTCTGTTGAAATATTAAACCTAACATGGTCACCTTCCAGCAGGGTCACTTTGGATTTTGTGTCTTTGTCTCCAAAGGGAAGTTCTTTAGGAATCACAAAGTCAACTTTGATTCGTCCTGGCAATGGATCATTCTG